GTCTACCAGTATTTTTGCTACTTCGCTATCGTGGATATGCAGCTCGACGACCAGTGGGTCGTTATGCGAGGTGTGTAACCCATGCATGTCTTTTGATGTGAATGTAATTGTTAGATGGTAGTCCACGGGGCGAGGGAACTTTTGCGAGGTAACCACTTTTCGTCCATACTTCTTGATGGCGCAAACCGAATCATCGCAGTCGGGAAGGCCTTCCATGATCATGTTAACCCGTCGCTTGGGCGGAGGGGGTGGATTGTCATGCTCGCCATCGTCGTTTTTGTGCTCAGCGCCCTTTTCTTTATCTTTTTCTTCCTGCTTCTTCTCGGGGGATCGACTTCGGCGCCTTCCTCCTGAGCTGCTTCGGCTTCTGCTTTTGCTTTGATCTCGGAGGTCCTTGCTTGGGGCACTTCGGCGAGAATCCTTGGAGCTTGAGGTGCATGAGTAGGAATTTTTATTCTGGGATCGATCTCCACTGACTTCGATCTTGTCTTCCTTGTATTTTTTATATAGTGAATTTTAGAGATGTCGGCATGCCGAAGTAGCATGTCCTGTCCGCCCATGAAAAAAGCAGGAGAGATCGTGGTTATCGTCTTTGTCATCTGAATTTCTTAGAGGATCGCCACGGTCCATTGATTCCAGGGTTTCTCGCCGGTTGCTACGATGGTGTGGGAAGATTGCCGACCCTTACTTGCCAGGTCCTTGTCTTGCGAAGTGCTTGCTACGTCCATGCCATGTTTCTTAGCTTAGAAGGTTTTTTTTTCTTCAATTCATATGAAGGTTTGAGCGTGGTGAAATGTGTCCTCTATGGTTTCTTTTGGATTTTTCTGCAAGTCTTTCTTGAACGAGGATTCGAACCATAAACCGTTCATGAGTGCCTTGATAGATAAAGCTTGTGGTATCTGGCCATATGCTGCTGCGGTGTCTTTGAATTGCTCTATATATTCCCGAAGAGGCTGGTCACGTTCCTGTACTAGGGTGAAGAAGTTGACCGTTCTCTTGGTGATAAACATCGAGTAATGTTTTATGAAGGCATGGGAAAACTCTTTCAATGATTCGATCGAGGTCGACGGGAGGTTGGAGAACCACTTGAGGGCGTCTTTGCTGAGGTGCTTAACGAAGGTCTGGCAGTTTTCTTCACTAACCAATTCGGTTTCGAACCGTTGTCATTTCATGGCCACGTTGAAGCCGGTGAGCCATAGATTGGGGTCTTCTGTCCCATTCTAGTAGGTTAGTTTTACTTTAATCACGGCGCCGAGGCGTGCGTCGGTGATTCGTGGAGCGAACAGGTTGCGCTTGGTATCTGATAAAATCGTCGAGATCTCAGGTGCCAAACTGATGGCACGATGGAATTGAGATTTGATTGCGTTGATTCATTGATGCAGCTTTGCGATCTCGGAATTCAGCTCGTCGGCTTGTTGGTCCGTGGTGGTGTTTTGAATGTTGTTGCGTTCAGGTGTTTCAAAAAGTCACCGTCCTAACGGTGCTGATCTCGCAGTGGTTGCGACTACCAGGGTGATGAGTTGCTTGTCGTATTTTGCCTGCTGGGCCTGGAGAGTGTCTAGCTTGGACACCAGGCTTTGTGTGAGTGGTAGCAGGGCGGCTTGGATTGCTGTGGCGAGATCGGCAGCAAGGACATGGGTCAGAGGTGCTCCCGCAGGTGGTGGGATCGCAGTGGGTTTGACGATGGGGTTACCGTGCTCGTCGAGAGTAGGTGTTTCGGTATGCGTGGTAATTTCTTCTGTGTTGAGGGTGAGGTCGCTGTTGTCGGACGGAAGGCTCATTGCCTCGGATCTTTTCTTGCTAGTGTTTCGAATTTAATTCTCCTAGTCCCCACAAACGGCGCCAATTATTGAACCAAAAAATCACTACTAGGGTTTGTGATTATCAGTTGTGGATTTTGGAGAATAAGATCTTTATTAAATAGCTCAAAAATGAAGCGATTACAAAGATTGGTATAACCGAGAGGTTATGCCAAACTGAAAAGAAAGTATTAATGCGCTAAACTAGAAAGCTTGGAGTTTTTAGATCTCGCTCTACTGCTCTATAGATTGTATGAGTTTTTTTTGGGCTCCAAGGTCTTCTTATTTATAGGAATAGGAGGTCGGCTGATACGAGCTCCTTTTCCTTTTCTCTTTTGGTGAATATTTCTATATTCGCGATATGAATATATCCTTTATTCTCTGAAGATTATAGAAATTCTCTTTTATCTTTGAATATTCCTTCGAGTTGATTCGAGGATTGGGGAGTTTGAAGATTATCTTCGAGGGTTTCTTTTTTTAAGTTACATCAATACGGTCTCCTTGATCTTGATAAACTTAGATTATTGATAGAGAAAGACTTTTAGGAAATATGCTTATTTCTCCTCTAACAATGCTAACATTTATGATAGGAGAAGTGTCTAATGGCGGTTAGTGAAAGACTGATTTATGAAGATTTTAAAAATATTTATGAATTTCAAAATATCCCATATCGCAAATTGCATATAATTACGAGAAGTTAAACCAACTTCGCAGTTTGCTAAATTAGTGGATCGGTTAAAATGTGATATCTTTATACTTTTTTTTGGTCAACAGTATCTTGTCATTGATAAAAGTCTCAAAATACATTTTATATAATAAAGTAAAGTTTTTTTTAGAAACAATTTTGATATGCTACCCTATATCATTGAATAAATTAATATGTGTCACATTTTTTACTTTTAAAAAAATCTTTTTTTTATTAAATTCTCTTTCATCAAACAAACACAAAAATAAAATTTTTCATTTTTCCATTTTTTAAACGATTTTTTTTCATCCAACAGAAAAAAAGACAAAAATTAAGATTTTTTTCAGAAGCAGTTTTGATATATTGTCATTTGTCATCTAAGAAACTGAAATATGTCATTTTTTCCTCCTTTTTTTGTTTTCGACAAATAATTTTCATTAATTAAACAGTAATTACAAAGACATTATACAGATTTACTTGAACATAGATTATTACATATGCAGATATATATCATACACTAAAAAAGATATAGCAAAAAGGAATTTGACGATGTTTTCAGAAGAATAGTCTTATTCGCTAACCTATCAAAAGATCAATTATTATCCAACTTTATATTTGATCTTTTTCTAAACCTATTTGTATGCAGCATCAAGTGGCTTGAACTTTCTTTTTTCAAACTGTATCTTAAAACCCAATATGTCCAAAGCATAACTCTGAAAGGTAGACCTTGGTACCAAATACTTCCGTATTCAAGTCATTTTCAAAAAATAAATTGACTTTGGTTTTCTCTCTAAATCAAGACATACTTCCCGGATAATGGCTTTAACTTCCTTTATCTCCCATACATGATTACTTCTGGAAAGTCCCCATCTCCATAATGGCTGCCAGAGAGATTTTTCCCACCGCAAATGAACACCTTTGGTAACGAGTGTAAAAAGAAGCCTCCACCAATAGTATAGTTTTCCAAATCCCCAGATCTAAGCATAAGATTATGAAGATGTTGTGTCTTCAGATTGGCACATACATCAAACAAAAATGAACCAAGTCGCATATAATGGTCGAACAAATACATCCATCAATAAAGTTAACGGTACAACAGTAGCACTGAAAGCGATGTAGATTTGAAATCTTATTTCACCTCTCGAGATTGATAAGGATTCAACAAACTGAAGAACAAAATCAAAAGAGCATTCAAATATAAGAAAATCCAATGTGGTTTAGGGATTCGAATTTTATCCAAAACGAAAAAAATCCATCCACCACCGTTAGAGATTTCATTAAACGGAACAAAACCGAACAAATTGACCCAAAAAATGGAGATCAAACACCGGACCAATGTCTGAAAAACGAATGTTGATTTGACATTTGAAAGAGAAAAGAGCTCCATGATCCTTATTCCTAAACTAAAAACTATGAATTAGAAAAAAGAAAGTACGACCGATGCTGAAGCCATTAAAAGTAACTATTTCTATTGAAATATACATTATTTTATCAAACAAAACTTCAGTTTTTTTTCCTCTCCAAACAGTTTTCTTTCACCCAACAAACGGAAACAAAAATCAAATCACTCAAACAAATCTTATATAATATAGTAAGATCATGTATAATTTTTTTTTTATCTCTACTAGTTTTTTTTATCAAAAAAAATAAAAAACAACGTTTAAGTTTTTTTTTCTACTCTACATGATTTTCTTTCTTTATGGCTCTTGTTTCACATTATTTAAGTTTTTTTAAAAACTTCTAAGAGTATCACTTTTTTCTCTTTTTTTTTTACTAATTGTTTTAATCGAACAAACACAAAAACAAAGTTTCAGTTTTTTTTCCGCTTCTGGACATAATTCTCTTTCACCTTTTTTTTTCCTATCCTACATTCTCTTTCATCGAACAAATACAAAAATAACATTTTTTTTTCTCTCTTCTCTACCAGATTCTCTTTCAACATATCTCATACTTAACATTATTTTAGAAGATTTTTTAACTTTTGAAAGCAGACTGTGTCATTGTTTCTACGCGAAAAATAGATTCATTTCTTCATGTTTCTTTTGTGCCCAATAGAAGAAAAAAATTATATACTATTTGCTTTAATGAAATATTTTTATATTAATGGCTCACTACTTTCTTTTCTAATCCATCAGTCCTCAAATCGCCATTACTATCACAATATGAATTCTACTCTTCAAGACCTAATTTCTGGTCATTCTTGCGTGCTTTTAACGGAACGGTGGGAGCTTAACTCCCTCAACATGATCAAATTTTATTCTCCATAGACATTATTATTTCACCAACATTTAAATATAATGTTCTAAAAAACGACATAGTGTTCACAATTAAAAACTAATATTTACTAATAAAATTTTACTAACAAATACAATGAAATAGATTATAAAATTAATATAATCAAAATATTATAAATCTGCGTAACGTGTATACCTTATCCTAGTTTATAAAAGTTAGTTTAGTGCCTCTCTTAAGCTCAAATACATTTGCAGCTATCCTCATGAGGTGGGTTTTGTTGTGTCAGGCTTTCAATGTCCAAACCATTAAAGATTTGCATCTTAACGGAATGGTTGGTTAGGTCCATGCTATGACTGTTGGAAATGGAATGCTTTTCGCTGGGAGAAGTGTAAGAATCTTAATTCAGTCTGTACTCGTATTACTTGTCTGCTCCCTTGTTGGATCTAAAGAAAGTTGCTTTTGTTTTTGGTTTTTACATCGTAGTCTGGTAGCATATCTGTCTGGAAAGCAACTGACACGAGTCTGATCCTTTCACATACCACACATCTCTCGAGGGACATCATAGTGGTCAAGTCACATGTTTTATTGTTGGAGGACAGCGACTTTACTCTAGCTCTGTAGATAAAATAATAAAGGTGACACTGGAATGTATAATGACTCTGTGGCAACATACCAACACTGTCACGTCGCTCTTATGTTGGGATCAGTTTCTGTTGTCATCCTCCTTGGATGGAACAAGAAAAGTCTGGGCTTGTTTGGAAAATGGCAGCTTGAAAGTTACTAGTACGCGCAGACAAGCACTAGTAAGTTTTGTGTACATTTTAGCCACATTCTCCTCATAATAACAACACCACATGATTTTTTAACAAAAAAGCATTTACGATTGTTTTCTTTGTGGTTTGAAACAGAGTGTTCATGCTCTTTATGGGATGCACGACGCAGAGGGCAAACCGATCATGTTCTGCTCTTACCAAAACAGATCAGTCAGTATTGTCGATCTACCATCCTAAGTGAAGCTTTTAGTCCTAGAGTTTCTCTAATTATATTGTACTGTGATCTTAAATTATTTTCTCATTTATTCTATTTTTTTGTATGCATTATACACAGTTTTGAAGAAAGAGGAAAGAATTTCTCGACGCACACGATCGAGACAATCACAGTTTGGTCCTGAAAGCTTGTTATTCAGTGGGGACAAGAGTGGGAAGCTACGTGTTTGGAACTCAGCTGCCACCAAAGTTTAGCCGTTTTACATTTTCCGACCAAAACTCTTTTGTATCTAAATTTGAATTAATTTGTACATAACATTCGTAACCTTAATACATGGTGGTGGTACTTAACACTAGTTTGAGATTGATAACCATCTCTCGGTAGCGGCAATGTAAAGCATACTATAACCGAGTTTTGTTATCCGATCCGATCATTTAATTGAAGTTCATTATCGCAATAATTTAAGTACATAAAAGCAAGTCACTAATTTTGGTAACAAGAACGGAAAATTTAAGCAAGCTAGAAATTTAAATGGATCTTTGCATATACCGAGGCATTTACATAAAATCTCATCCGGACAAGTAAAAAGGCAATGCAAAACCACATTACATAGTGCTTAAGAATCAAAACCATCACCATAAAGAACATATAATCTCGAAATTAACTATAAACACCCTTCAGTAATTTATAATTTCTTTCAAGTTAATGCAACCTGCCAAAACAAATCCTTTTTGGAGTATTTTGCTTTCCTCGCTTTTGAGACAAATCGATGGAAAGATATGAAAGTTTCTTCGAGATGAATAAACGTGGTAATTGACAATACCAATGACATGTCAAGTATAATTAAATAATTTGAATTACTATTCTCGCGTTATGTATAACGTGGGAGATTAATATATTGGGAGACCATTTTAAAACGATCCACTATATATGCTTGACACAAAAGATAAGATCGTGAGTGTCATCCAAAAAGTTACGATCTACTTTAGAAGAATTAAAATAATATGATCAAAATAGATTCTCGCGTATAACGTGGAATAATAATGGCTTAAAGAACGTGGAGAGATAATGTATAAAGAGATTAAGATAACTTTTGAAACGATCCAATAATGTAGCAAAAATTTATATTTTATAGCTTTGACCTGTGAAATTGGTTTAATGGTTTAACTTATGTGTGAGATTTCAAATCGTATATCTAAATTGTATATTTTCATTTAAAAATATCAAAATAAATCGTATAGAGCAAAATTAAGTTTTTTGGTATTTTTAGTTCGAATACCAAATATGACAAAAACTCCATTTTTTATACAAAACCAAAAGAAATTATAAAGTATTGGATTTTATAAGAAAATAAAATCGTTAGAATACCAAATTTTTTTATCAAAACTAAAACCGAATAATGTAAATATTTTATATCAGATTGAAATTGTAGACTAATAAAACAATTATAAACTGGTTATATAGAATTAAATTTAAATACGAATGACTTTTTTAAAAAAGGTCATAATTTTTATGATAAAATTTGACACCAAAAAAATTAAAACCCAAATATAATTATATAAACCAGATTATTCACTTCTAAATAAAAATATACCCTCTCCATTTTTTATCAGAGGATGCTTTGAAAATGTGCACACATATTAAGAAATCATTTAATTTTTTATATTTTCAAAACAAAACATATTTTTTCATCAATTTCAAAACAATTCAGCCAATAAAAAAAATAAAATTTAAAATTCAAACAGCCAAAACAACAAAAATATAATTAATTTTTACATAGAAATTTGAAAACATCATATATTTTGGAATAATAAATAAATTATAAAACATCTTATAATAAAAAACGGAAGAAATATTGATGCACATAATGCGAGAGGATCACCTAATATGTATATTTTGAAATTAGTGCAGGTAATTAATGTGATGACGATCCGATATTAATAAATTGGTTGGGTTTTGCTGATCTTGTTGGGCAGATAGTGTTGTCGATCGTAAAATAAACTCTCAAAAGTAATACTACATGATTTCATCAGTAGAATACATGAAAACAAATGCAACTTATTTCATACAAAATGTTACATTGAGAAATCCTTATGCATTATCCCTATATATTGCTGTTAAATTGTTTATCATTAATCTCCGAAGGTTCTCTTGCAGGATCGGGATCTCGCTCCCCCATTGCACACTGAATTCAAAGCAGCAATTTGGGCAATGAGGACTATGCTACAAAAAGGTATTACCTCCATTCATATACTGTTTGATTGTCTGCAGATGATAAAGTTGATCAAAGAAGAAGAAGAGTGGCCGAACTAGGGGTGGGCGCAGATCGGATATCCGGGAATTTTTTAGTATTTGTGGTTTGCTCCGTTTTTAACAGAAATTTAATTTTATGATTTGATTTGCTCCGGAAATATACGGATATCCGGATTTTTGGATATCCGGAAAATTTACAAGTATTTGCGGATATTTGCGGATATTTACGGATATTTATGAATATTTAGTTTGATCTATTTAATATACACAAAACTGAAAGTACATCAATTTTTATTAGAAAAAAATATTTTTCATCTAAACTATTAAGTGAAAATAACTAAAAGAAAATATTTTATTTTATAAAAAAATCTATAAAAAATAAACCTACAAAATTAAGATGAGAAAAAATGATATTTTATATTTAAAAATAATGTTAGCTATTTGAAACTTTAATATTAAACTTTACTAAAAAACTTTTGTTGATATTTATTTACTAATATAAAATAAAATATTATTTATTAACATATTTTAAGTTTAAACATATTATTTATTTTTTATAATTAGTTATTTAGTCATTTATTTTATATAATCAAAAGAAAAATTGAAAATTTAGGAAGAAAATTGAGAATATATTAATAAAAATTTATAATATAATTGATATATACATGATAATATATAATAAATTTATAAATATACGGATCGGATCGGATATCCGGCGTTATCTAAAAACATATTTGTGATTTGCTCCGTTTTGTACGGATATTACATTTTGCTATTTGCTTTGCTCCGAAGCTTTACGGATATCCGGATTTTTCGAATCGGATCGAAGCAAATATCGGTTCGAAGCGGATATAACGGATATTTTGCCCACCCCTAGGCCGAACTATGCAACAAAAGTAGAAAAATTTTCATATACATTCTGAGTTTAATATTTTTCAACTGTCTTTTATCCCTCGTATGTGTAATGTCCGGACAGATACTCTTGGCAAAGGAGTCCATTCCCGCAATATATGTTTCTCTTATGTTAACACTACTATTCCGGAATAGCTAGTCTTAATGACTAACTTATTTCTAGTTTAATAAAGTGTTACTTCGACGTCAAAAAAAATAAAATCTCCGAGAAAGGTTCTTATTTTCTTATATAGGTTACTGAAAACTGATAGAGAAATATTTCAGTAACCTATATTTTTAATAATCGACATGGTAAGTTATTGAATCATTTATAAATTCAGATTAAAAAAACAACCAACTACCCTGCGAGACCCGCTTCTTAATAGATATTTAAATTTAAGTTCCATGTTCGTCGCCCGTTTTAACATCTGGATATAAAATAACATATACATTTTTGGGTTATTTAAATAGAGGCTACATACTTGTTTGTGAAACCAACCAGAAACTTATTTTCCTCTTTTAATTTGCAGATCTTTGAGTGCTAAGCCATGGCGATATCTCACGCTCAACCTATGCTTCTTCTCCTCCTATCACTCTTCTTCTTACCTACTTTGCGGGCCATCCCTTTCACTAACTGCGGTTTGCTACTAACATTGTTCCTTTTCTTGTTAATCTATATGTTCACTAGGATGTACTAATAAGATCAAATTAATATTATTAGATCAAAGCTTTATAAAACTTTTCAATCATCTCACTTTGACAGAGTTCTAAGAAAGTAACGTACCATAAAATTTGGTTAGTCATTGCGAGAGTCGAAGATCGATTTTTAAGTTACAGAGTACTGGGAACTATAGGAACATAATCTCGATGCAACAAATGTTTTTGATTGGACAATAATTGGTTGGTTTGGGGAGTAGAAATTCTAGGGGGGTTTCTCTAAAAATAAAGACAAAAGCTGAATCTGGCACTAACCTCTCATGTTTATGTATCGTTGACTCTATATCTCTGTCTATATATATATATATAAGCATATAATTAATAATGGGTTTTGTGTTATGAAACTTGTGCTCCTCACTAAAATTTTATATATGGCCTTAATCTTTGTGACTGTTTTAGGTACCGGAGATGGTTCTGATAGTCCTCCTCCTGTTGAAGCCACTGGTGTTGAGTTATTTGGGGATAATGAAGATAAAAGCTTTAAGATAACCGCTTCTACAGGTACCTAATTAATCCCCTTCACCAATTTGCTTCTTTTTTTTTCTTTTCCAACTCTTGTTTTAATTTGCAATATTTTTATTTTGTGTGAACAGTCAAAATGATTACTGGAGGAATCATGAGAGTAGAACTTCAATTTGGCGTTTATAAATTATATGATGAAAAATTCGACGTCTGTGAAATTATTGCATGCCCTGTTGTTCCTGGCGCCTTCGAGATTCTTTTTACCAAACCCTTCTATAAAGACACAGAGGTACGTTTTCTGATATTGTTTCCACAAAGTCCCTTCTTGTTTTAATTTTTGGGTCAATTAGCTCAATAACCAATTTTTAAAAATCATATGAAGAAAATAGCACTTTTTCTTGAGTATTTGGAGAAATAACATAATAACTAAGCTTTGTCATTTTTACCCATACAAAAAAGATAAAAAAAAGTTAGCAAGAGAACTTTTTTTTTTGACATCACGTAAAAGGTGAGAAGTAAAGAGAGAATTTGTATTGTTCTATTGCACTATTCTATGTTATATACTGTTTTGTATAGAACAAATATATTTATTTTTGTTGATTTTGTTTATTGAGTTACTCACACACTACTGATTGATTAAATCTTGCATTAATTTTTAAAAAACACATATTTTATACTCTAATATGATATGAATTTTGAAACACGGACATAAAATTCTAAGAAACATGAATATCATATCGCTATTGAAGAACATATCGTTCTATGTAGCCACACATAAAATAGAATACGTACCATACTAGTTTTCATAACCTTTAATAATTTAACTATAAATGCAAAATGTACAACCGTAGCTCGAAAAGTTTAGTGTGAAACACAAAAATAAGTTCCACATCCTGTAAATAAACTTTATACATACATAAGCCAAAACAAATATGTCGAAATATGTACATAACTTTATACATACAAATATATTAGACTTATTGAAATTAATAATATGAAATAACATTTCGAAAATGTAAAATAGACTGGTTAATATATAGAATTCGTTTTTTATATAGATAAACATAGATATAATAAAACAATTTTGTAGATTATTGATTTTAATGTAAACTATAACTATTTTATATGAATGTTAACAATAGTATAGACTTGCAAACCAAAAATAAAATTTAATTATATTATAGATCATCCGAACTATAAAGTCACTCACCACCAAAATAAATGACTTTAGATAAATAGCTCAAACATAATTACAACATAGTTACATAAAACAATATTTTCAAACAGTATAATAAAACGGTTAAATTATAGAATTAGACATTTTATATAAAAAACATAGATAGAATAGAATGATTTTAGTATTGAATGACATGTTATGCTTAAGAGTTTATCTATTATTTTTGTGAAATTTATTTTTGTTTTCAAAAATTTAAATCGAATTACAAGTTTGAATCAATATTATTGAAAAGATTTATACTAAATAAATGAGTTGGAATATAAAAAGTAATAATATAAAAAAAGAAAAAAAGAAAAAGGCTAATATATCTCTCGATTATGTGGATAAAGGTAGGATTGTATATATTATATATTATACAAAGACTATCATAAAAAAGAATTAGTTACGGCAGTAACTAGTAATTTTTTTTCTTCGCAATTTATTCCAAATTCCCTTAAATTTTCAGTTTGTTTAAGACAAAAAGAGAACTGTGTTTAATAAGGTAAATAAATAAAATACCTTTAATAAATTTTTTTTTGTACTTATATAACAAACCCCAATAATATTAATATAATCCTGTAACTAATTGGATTATAGGGATATCCTTATATAAATAAAATAAACTACTAACACTCAAAAACACTATATAAATCTAAAGAGAGCTGGTTCAAAAAAAAATATTAAAAAGAGTTTCCATATAAAAGGTTTAATAAAAATGTTTAGATTTAAAATCATCAAATTAAGTTTAAATACACTTGGAATCGATTAAATTAAAGAGAACTTTTTATATCGGTTCTGATTGATAAATTTTGTAGAATAGTGGAATAGCGAAAAAACGCAAAAACAAAAAAATATTGTTAATCAAAAACTTGCAAAAAACGCAAAAACGCAAGATCTGCGGAATTACGTTTTTGCTTATAAAAAATATAAAAAAATCTTCATTAAGCGGAAAAGTGTGTTTGAAGTAGTTTATTTGCAGAATAAATATTTATATTATTTAATTATATAACTAATTATATTTTATTATTAAATAAATACAAATAAATAATTTGATATTACAAATAATTATTTAATAATAAAGTTATATCTATTATTTAAGATTTGTAATATTCTTAAATTTTTATATTCTTTTTTTTATTTTGAAAAATCAATTTATAAAAAAATTATAATAAGAATTATATTATTTTATAATAATTAACTGAATTATTAATATTTTATTTTTTTATGATATATAGTACAAAAAGTATTTTTATATAATTATATTATGCTATTCTGCCATTCTACATAATTTATCTAAATCATGTTAAAAAAAATATTTTGCAATTCCACAATAAATTATTTCATAATTTTTTTTTCCGCCAATCCAAAATTTCAGAATAAGAAAAATATATTACCGGAGCCATCATCTTTGGTTTCATTGTCCAGAAAATGATATCGGATTGGATGTAATATTAGTAACAAAAATGATGATTATAAATGATAGTAAATACTTAACTCGAACCGCTAAAACCTTGGGAAAACAGCATCAAACTTTGTTTTTGTTTGTTAAAGCAAACACCATCAAACTTATGGGTAACGATCCATTTTGACACTCCTAGGTTAGATTTTTTGTTTTTTAGTTTAATGTACCAGATCTCATAGTGCTAACACTACATGTATTAGAGGTTAGGGTTTATGGAATATGTTATATATTTATATAGTATACAGTAGAACTTTTATAAATTAATACTCGATAAATTAATAATCACTATAAATTAATAACTTTTATCGGTCCCAAGTCGGACCAGTGTAAAAATTAGCAAATTTCGATAAGATAATAAGATAATTTTTTTTTGAAACTCCTATGTAAAAATATAGTCCCAATAATTATATAAATTAATAATTATACATTTAAGCACATATAAATAATATAATATAGTAAAATATAATTATATTATTGTTTCAATTTTATAAAAATTATTTGACTTACTTTTTAAATTCACTGATATGATATTTTCTGAATAAATTTTACATTGTTAAAAATATATTTTGTTTTTTTACAAATATTTTGGATTTGAACCGAAATATCTCTCTATAAATTAATAAAATATTAATTTCTCGATAAATTAATAATTATTAATTTATCGATTAATTAATAACTCTATAAATTAATAAATTTTTACAGTCCCAATATTATTAATTTATAGAGGTTTTACTGTATGTGTTTTACATCATATATGTACATAATTAAGAGTCTTATGTTTTTTTCTTAACTTTACCAAAACAATTTTTTTTTAACTTTGCTAAACTGAGATATTAAAATTTGAAAAGTGTCAATTTAAGAAAAAAAATGACCTGTATATTTTACCTATCACTCACACCACTATTGTCTTCTTTCCTATTAATTAACCATCATTTGGTTGACCCTTTTGACGAGTGTTTTTTACCTTTGCAGATTGAACCAACTGTTACCGTAACCATTTATGATGCAGGTGAGGAGAACTCAATGTGTGTTCACTTCAGTATCCCGCCTTCTATTTCCTCTGCAGTCTCTGCTTAATCAAAATTTCGGGGTGAAGATGTGTTCTCTTGATACCTTATGTGTTTTCTTCCCTTTGTGTGGTTCCTAACAAATAAAAAAGGGTTTGTTCACCTATCTTTACATACACCCTTTCTCTGATTTAGAGTGTGATTATGACCGTTTTGTGACACCTGTCTCTTTTCAACCAAGACAGCATGTCATTTGCATTGATTTAACACACAAGACACATTTGAAGTCCCACGGTATATCTTATTCCTAACAATAGTATCCGAAACGTTTTATATAAAAACCAGCTTTAAACCAAACCATCATAAAACCAAAAATATTCAAATAAAACATTTTAAAATAAGAATAAACGAAATCATGGAGTGGAAAGACAACAAAAAATTTCAGCATAGTTCCGCAAAGACGCTATATTGCTTATGCCAATAGAATGAACAAAGCCACAAAGGTCCAAATAAGTGGTCAGGGAATTTGGTTTGGACGGCATCCGAGACAACATGCCAAGGAAGAATGATAACACCTATGGCTATGGGTCAATGAAATCATCAGTTTCAGGGTATTTTTGTGTCGAATCAGCCAATGAAAAATGCTGTCGTATGGACCAAGAATCTCATCAGTTTCAGACAGCAGAAGTAGTCCCAAGTGTGTAAGCTTCTCTTGAAAGACATGAGAAGGTACTTTTCTCTTGAAAATAGTAGCTTGAAAGTTGCTAATACATGCACACAAGAACAAGTGAGTTTTGTGTTGAGCCAGAAAATCACCACTAGAGATTTGATTAACAGTTGTGGGTTTCAGAGAATAAGATCTTTATTAATAGCTTGAAAAGACGAAGCGATTACAAGTTTGGTATAATCGAGGGGTTATGCCGAAGTGAAAAGGGGTTATGCCAAAGTTAAAAGAAAGTGTTTTTGAGGTAAACTAGAAAGCGTTGGAGTTCTTGATTTTAGCTCTTATTCTCCGAAGAATATGAAAATTTTCTTTTATCTTTCAATATTCTTTTGAGCTGATCCGACTCTTCGGGACCTCAAAGATTATCTTCGAGTTTTCTTTTTTTAGAGCTACGTCGGCGCAGTCTTCTTGGTCTTGATGGGCTTAGGTTATTGTTAGAGAAAGCTTTTTTGGAAAAGTGCTCATTTCCTCTCTAACAATAAGCCCCTCCTAGTTCGGCGAGACTGATTGTGAATTAGCTCGACGGACTTTATGAGGTTAAGTGGGTTTGATCTGGCAATAAGCATCAGCTCGTCAAGAGCGTTTCTCCGTGATGGCCAGCTCGGCCCGTTCTGAAGTGGATTTGACATGTGGTGCTTCCTTTAAATAAATTTATTTAAATATGCGACCAATTAGGGTTTTGCTTCAAGCAGGAAGGCCATAGATTTATCATACGGCGAGCTTATGCAAATCTCGACACACGTCCTTTAAGGGAATTGTTAATATTTCTTTTGATTTTATTATCGAAAAATTATCTCTTCATCTTCCTGCTCTCAAGGGTTTTTACTTTCTTTAGATTGTTTTTGCAAAAATTATTTCCTCGCTGCGATAATCTTCTTTGCTTGCCGATCTTCCTTCTTTTTTTCTCGATTTTTCCAGAAATTTCTGTTTTCTTCATTATATTGAAAAATGTCGACGGGATCGCATGGTTCTTCTTTTGATGACGATATTCCTCTCGCCGAGCGTGCTAGGCGGGTATAGATTAGTCCAGTTCCTTCTTCTCCCTCGAATTCTGAGGGGTCTTCAGGTTTTCGAGATGTGATTTCGCCAGATTATTCTGATATAGATTCTGAGATGGAATCAGAGGGTTCCGAGCCAGCGGATCGGATTGAGGGTCTCCCGCAGAAGATAGCGATGTCGAAGCATAGAACTGGCATCAAGGATGGGAGGACTTAGATGACTGTGGATAGGCTTCAGGAGCTTCGGTCGAGATGCTGCTTCCCTAAGGAGGTCGAGCTTTTACTTCCTCAAGTTCACGAGAGAGTAACAACGCCGCCGGAGGGTTACTTCTGTATTTATGAATGCCATTTTGCAGTTTTTGGTCTCCAATTTCCCATTTCATTCGCTTTTACGTTACTGCAAGTAAAGGAGGATGCCAGTGGTGCAACTCTCTCACACTGCGATTCGTCACTTTGTCAGCTTAACGACGGTTGCTCAAATAGCGAAGGTACCTTTCAACTGGGATATCTTCGAAATAATTTCGATTTTAAAGAGCGGAGGGCTAAATCGCGGGGGGGGGGGGGGGGGGGGGGGGGGGGGGGGGGGGGGAGGAGGGAGTGGTGGTGCCATTTTTATACCACGCTAAAGTAGGGAATTGTTGGTGGGGATCCAACAAGCAAGGTTCACGAGTGGGACCGTTTTTTCTTCTATGTGAAGATTAACGAGGCGTCTACCGGCAATTCCGAGCTTGAATTATTCAGGACTTGGAGGTCAAAACCTTGTAAGCCGAACTGAACTTCGCTGTTTGTTTTCTTTCTGCTTTTTGGCTAATTTCGAGATATTGACATGTTTGCTCCTTCCTTTATTTTGGCAGTGTCGATCAGCCTTGGGAAGGACCCGTTCGGCCTTGATGTCGACATTCAGAAGCTGCGCAACTTTAGCCAGGAACTGTGGCCCGAAAAGGAGAAAAAGGGCCCTCCAAGAAGAACAAGAAGAAGAAGCCGGCCAAGCCGGCCAAAAAGAGAGCTAAGTCTTCGAAAGCATGTGCATTGCTGGATCGAAGTGACTTCATGTGTGTGTTTTGTTTAAACGTGATGCCTTATAGTTGCTTGTTTTAATGTTGCAGCTGTTAAGAAGACGTCGCGACCGAGGCCCGAAGGTACGGGTCTTAAGAGGAGGAAGACGATCCCGGCTGTAGAGGTTGATATCCCTGCTGCTGCCCCCACAAAGCGGAGGAAAGCGAACCCTCCAGCTGCACCTATACAGGTGGATTCTAGCGATGCCGAGCTGGCTTCAGAAGGCGAAGGTCTTGCGGAGGAAGTCACGAGGTATTGATTTAACTTTAATTGCGTCTTTTCTTCGATGAACTTGATGTGATTCTTGATGCTTTTTATTGCTGTTTTTAGTTTTTCCAGGGCTGCAGCGTGGGAAAAGCTGAAGCAAGCCGATGCTGAGAAGGCTGCTGGGCCCTCACAAGATGAATTAGTTTGGGAGACTGTTTCTCGGACCGAAGGCGAGGGTGATAAAACTAACACGAGCTGCCGCGAAGCTGCCTCTTCTTATGCTGGGACCGGTGCTCCTAAAGATCCTGGGGTTCATGATGCAGAAGGTGCAGGTCGAAAAGGGAACGAAGAAGCCGATATGGCTCGTCAAGGAGCCAAACTTCCGCCCGAAGGATCTGCTCCCCCGGAGGGTGCTGATGTTTAAGATACCAAAGGTGCGAACCGAGATGAGACCGAAGATGCTGCACCGGGTGTTTTTACTGAGCCGAAACTGGAAGAAGAGTTTTCTGACTACAATCCTCACCACTTGAGCTTGAAGTGGGACGGTGCTACTCCTGCAATGCTTAATCGCGACTTTGCCGCGAAGCTAATCTAGCGGTGCAAAAAGAACTCAAGGTGGGGTAAACCTCTGCGGGAGATGAAGTTAGCAGAGTCAATATCCTCGGCGAATCATCTGATCGCTCAGGTATTTTTTTGTGATGCTACTGTGTTTCTATTTTTATGTTGTCGCTTAGTTTTAACAGTAAATCATAATCCAGGATTTATGAACATATATATCTGCGTTCAAGACGTATGAAAAAGATTATTTTCACAAGGAGATGATGCTGGACGTCGCTTACCCCAAGCTCGAGGAGCTCGAAAAGGTGGAAGAAGAGAACCGGCTTCTCAAAGAGAAGTGTTCCCATCTTGAAGGCACCGTTGAAGCCTTTAAGGGTGAGGTGGCGGAAACGTCTCGACTTCGCAAGCAGGTTGCAGCCCTCCAAGTGCAGAACGAGCTCTTTGAAAAGTGAAATGAGGAGAATTCGCAGAGGTTCCTTGCCGAGAAGGAAAATCTTCAGGGTTCTCGCGACGAGGTGATGCGAGATGTTGCTGACAAGGTTTTTGGCAGCATAGTCTCCTGGTTTAAACCGCAGATGGAGCGGATTCAGGCATCGCTGGTTCAGCGAGAAGAGGTAGAGGCTGCTCTTGTGGGCGTGGAAAAGAGCGGCGCTATGGTGGCGTACATGAAGAAGATGCTCGAGAAGGGATGGGAACTCCCCGCTGGCACGCTTCCAACCTTTGAGAGGGAACTCGCGAAGTGGCAGACTGTAAGTAATTCTATCGATGATATCGTTATTACTGAAGACGATCTCAACTTGCCGAGCAGGTCTGTTCCATCCGCTCTTCCTTTATTTTGGCGGGAAGAGGTTCTCTCTTGTTCGTTTTCTCATTGTTTGTGTTTCTGTGGTAACAGGTCTGCTATCGACAAACTGCTGAAGCAGGCGCGAGGACAGATGATGGAGCCAAAAGAGGAGCCGAACTGAGCTGCTATCTCCCCTTTTTTGCTGTATTTTACTGGCTTTTGTGCGGTCTTTTATGTAATGATATTGCCCAAAAAAGGGCTTATTAAGTTTTTACTTTTTTGAGTCGAATGTTTGGCCAGAACATCGACTCAGCAAGATGCATTCGCATAAGGAAGATTGCTCTATGTGCCGAGCTGATTTTCCAAAAAATAAAAATTTATTAAATTCTCAGCTGCACCCGGAGGTTGCTTACATACCCAAGTTGGGATTAAGCCGTTTGTAGTTCTTTACAATTACTAAATGAGTGTTGCCTCTCAGAGGCCAAGCCGGTCTTTATTGGTGATAAAAATAAAAACTAAATATAAAAGCTGTGAGATTCTTGCAGAATCTATTCCGTTTGTTTAGCGTCTTCGAGGGCTTTTGCCGCGTTGAGTCGCACCTTTCGTTCGCTGATGAAGCAAAATCTTGCCATCTGCTGATTGCCACGAAGTGTGAAGATGTCAACCAAGGTAGCAAACTTCATGCATTGATGGTAAGTCGACACTATGGCTTTTATCTCATGGATCCACGACGTGCCAAGTATGACATTATAGATTGCTGGTTTATCCATGATGGTGAATTTGACAATTTTTGAAACTCCACCGACGTAAACTGTCAGACGTATGGTGCTGAGGCTGAAGAAAGATTCGCTGGCAAAGCCGGTTAGTGGCTTTGGTGCTACCTTTATGTCCTCATCGTGGAACCCCATCTTGGTTAAGGTGTCTTTAAAGATGATGTTAACTGTATTGCCAGTGTCCACCAGTATTTTCGTCACTTCGCTA